CGAGGCGGGTGGATCACGAGGTCAAGAGATCGAGGCCATCCTGGTCAACATGGTGAAACCCCGTCTCTACTAAAAATACAAAAAAATTAGCTGGGCATGGTGGCGCGTGCCTGTAATCCCAGCTACTTAGGAGGCTGAGACAGGAGAATTGCCTGAACCCAGGAGGTGGAGGTTGCGGTGAGCCGAGATCGTGCCATTGCACTCCAGCCTGGGTAATAAGAGCGAAACTCTGTCTCAAAAAAAAAATAAATAAATAAAATAAAATAAAAAATAAAGTCACATACTGGCCAGGCAAGGTGGCTCACACCTGTCATCCCAGCACTTTGGGAGGCTGAGGTGGGTGGATCACCTGAGGTCAGGAGTTGGAGACCAGCCTGGCAAACATGGTGAAACCCCGTCTCTATTATAAATACAAAAAATCAGCTGGCTGTGGTGGTGCATACCTGTAGTCCCAGCTACTCAGGAGGGTGAGGGAGGAAAATTACTTGAACCCAGGAGGCGGAGGTTGCAGTGAGCCGAGTTCACACCACTGCACTCTAGCCTGGGCGACAGAGATGCCATCTCAAAAAATAAAGTCACATACTAAGAGGCTGGAGCCGTGAAGACAAGTGACTACATACTTTTCCCAATGACTTTTCAAAACCAGCATTACAAATACAATGAAAAGATTTCATGATCATTAATAGCTTTAGATAATCAGGTTGATTTATAGGCAAGTCAACTGTATTCTCAAGAGGCCACGTCTGCCAGGCTGGTGGAAAACAAGAGTTTAGCATCTTCATAGGCACAACCCCCACCTCTGTAGTAGGCAGGATGGAACTAAGGCTCCAAAGCCTTCCTTTCCCTGCCCTCCCTACATTAATGTACCTGCTCGCAAGGGCCGGCTCAAATGACCTGCCAGCCTTTGATGGTACACAGGATTAGTGGAGTTATCACTGCACTTAGGCAAAGAAAAATCAATCAGAGAACCCAACAGAACAAGAGAAGGCATAGATTTTCAGTGCCACAAAAAGTATAAATGCTTCTGCCCGTGAAACCCTGAGTTTACAACAATTACAAAAGTATAATCATCCTGCAAGAGTGAATTGGCTCAACAAATGCACACATCCAAAGAGCCAAACACCACTTACAACTATTTATCTAGATTATTACATTTCTAAATTATGTTTGTGATGGTGGCTTTTTTTTTTTTTTTTTTTTTTGAGACGAAGTCTCCCTCCGTCGCCTAGGCTGGAGTGCAATGATGCAATCTCGGCCCACTGAAACCTCTGCCTCCAGGGGAGCGAGTCTCCTGCCTCAGCCTCCCAAGTAGCTGGTACTATAGGCGCGCGCCACCACACCCGGCTAATTTTTGTATTTTTAGTAGAGACAGGGTTTCACCATGTTGGCCAGGCTGGTCTTGAACTCCTGACCACAAGTGATCGCCTGCCTAGGCCTCCCGAAGAGTGGGATTATAGGCGTGAGCCACTGTGCCCAGCCTGATAGTGGTTTTGATGAGATTTTTATCAAAATAAAGATATCCATCCTATAGTGCTAGGAGAAAAGCATTACAGAATATGTGTACCATGATCCCATTTTTAAACTATACACATAGATACATAGAAAAAAGTAGCCAGCTATACAAGTGTTTATTACTGGTTGGTGAAATCCTAAGAAATTTTTTCTTCTGCCCTCCTCCTTTTTTTGAGATGGAGTCTCATTCAGTCACCCAGGCTGGAGTGCAGTGGCGTGATCTCAGCTCACTGCAGACTCTGCCTTCCAGGTTCAAGCAATTTTCCTGCCTCAGCCTCCTGAGTAGCTGGGATTACAGGTGCGTGCCACCACACCTGGCTAATTTTTGTACTATTAGTAGAGATGTGTTTTGCCATGTTGGCTAGGCTGGTCTCAAACTCCTAACCTCAGGTGATCCACTTGCTTTGGCCTCCCAAAGTGCTGAGATTACAGGGGAGAGCCACCACAGCCAGCCTTTATTCCCTCCTTTTTGAGACAGGGTCTCACTCTGTCACCAGGCTGGAGTGCAGTGGTGCCATCACGGCTCACTGCAGCCTCGACCTCCCAGGGCTCAGGTGATCCTCCCACCTCAGCCTCCCAGGCTGGGACTATAGGCGCTTGCCACTACACCCAGCTAATTTATATACATTTTTTGTAGAGATGGGGGTCTCCTTATGTTGCCCAGGCTTGTGTCAAACTCCTTGGTTCAAGCAATCTGCTGCCACCTTGGTCTCTCAAAGTGCTGGGATTACAGGTGTGAGCCACTGTGCCTGGCCAAATTTTTCATTTTTTATTTTTTTTAAAGACGGGGTTTCACCATGTTGGTCAGGCTGAACTCCCGACCTCGGGTTATCCGCCCGCCTTGGCCTCCAAAATGCCTGGATTACAGGCATAAGCCACTACGCCCGGCCTTTTTTTTTTTTTTTTGATGAAGTCTCACTCTGTCACCCAGGCTGGAGTGCAGTGGCACGATCTTGGCTCACTGCCACCTCCGCCTCCCAGGTTCAGGCAATTCTCCTGCCTCAGCCTCCTGAGTACCTGGGATTACAGGTGTGTGCCACCACGCCCAGCTAATTTTTTGTATTCTTAGTAGAGACAAGGTTTCACCATGTTGGTCAGGCTGGTCTCAAACTCCTAACCTCGTGATCCACCCGCCTCGGGCTCTGTTTTTTTAAACTGCAGATTATTTTCCTAAAATAAACATGGATTACTTGTATAACAAATAGTCAATAGTCCAAATAATCCCCTTTCCTTTTTTTTCTTAAGCATTAACATCATTTTTTGAGACGGAGTCTTGCTCTGTCGCCAGGCTGTAGTGCAGTGGTGGGATCTCAGTTCACTGCAACCTCCCACCTCCCGGGTTCAAGCAATTCTCTTGCCTTAGCCTCCAGAGTAGCTGGGATTACAGTCATGCGCCACCACGCCCGGCTAAGTATTTTTAGTAGAGACAAGGTTCCACCATGTTGACCAGGAAGGTCTCGATCTCTTGACCTCGTGATCCACCTGCCTCGGCCTCCCAAAGTGCTGGGATTACAGGCATGAGCCACCCGCCTGGCCTACTCAGTAACTCACCAGTTTTTTTTTCTGAATAAGTGAAAATTAAACATCTAAGCTCTATCTTTTTGGGAAACCGATTATTTCCAAAGGTGTTTATAAAAGCCAGAACTCTACCAGCAGAGTGGATATAGGACCAGGGGCTAACAAACCACACAAAAGATGGTGGGGGGAAAAATCTCTGAGAGGAGGAAACAATCAATTTACTAGGGGAGTAGTGGCCTTCTCACAAGTGAAAAGAAGAAAAGAAGCCGAACAACCTGTATCATTTTCTATAAATAAAACCCTGGACAGCGTATTGCCAAAGAAACACAAGTCAACAGAAACCTTTACATACTGAACTGCCAAACTTCACTTTTAGACAGTATATTAATTACGTAGTCAATAACCATGGGTTTCATTAGCGTATTAAAATACCACGATCAATATTATTTATACTTTTCGAAGACGGGCCACTCAGGAAACAAAAGTGGGGGAGGGGAACATTTTTGATCCTGTCGTTCAAAAAAAGAACAGCACACCAGAGATTAGCAAGGTTTTAATGGAAAGCATAAAACACTGGAAATACGGACAGAAATCAGATTATTCCCCTTTTAGTTTTTTCCCTGCCCCTTTCACAATGAGACTGGAGGGAATTCAAGAACCACTTAAAATAAAGGCAAAATGATTAGATTTTTTTCTAATTGCTTCATGCTGATGTAATGGTGTACGCAAAATCAACATTGATCTCTAAGTGAAAGATGAGAAATACAACACAAACAGCTTTTCGAGGTAAACTGTATCCAAGGGAATTCTACGAACTGTGGGCCAGAATCTATTTAGGCAACCCTCAGGGACCCAAATCTCTTAAAAGCTTCAGTGGAGCCAATTTCTGCTGCTCCCCTCCTGGTGATCTGAAAGTTTAGTAGCGAAATCTGTTAAAAACACCCTCCTGGACGGAGCCCTCATCCAGCACTGCCCCTGGATTTCTAATCCCATCCGTGTAGACGTGCTGGTTTCGTCCCACTGGCCACTGAGAAAGCTCGAGGACGGTGCAACGTTCCCTGGACACGTCCTGGTCCACGGCTGGTGGCCAGACGTGGGGAACGGAAGGGACGCTGGGAGTAAAAGACTGGTTACCGGCTGGAAGCTGGATCACCACTTCCCACCCGCAATTTGTCAATCCAGAGCAGGGCTGAAGACTGTAATTTTCTAGTTGCTGATTTATAAGCAAGGTCAGACAGAAAAGAACTTCTGTAAACACTGTTGAGGCCTCAGAGAATGAAATGCGACCCAGCTACCATCTCCTGAGACTAGAGAAGGGCAGGAAGGAATGCGTCCAAACAATTAGTGAGGCTGAGCCAGAGTCCCCCGCGTCTGCTCTCAGGAATGGAAGTCAGGCTGTTTAGGGCCACCCGGCTCCTGTGCCAAGAGAGGAAACAGACAGGCTGCCATCGCTCCCCACCTCCAACAGCCGCCCCAGGCTGCATCTGCACCAGTGAAAAGCCAGGGCCTCTGGCTGCAGACTGGCTGCAGCGCGGCCGGTGGACGAGGGAGAGCGGGGCAGCCAGTGCCAGGCGGTGTGTTGCAGCCACCAGATAGATAATTAATATGATTAGGAACACACAGAGCAAGCATGCTCTCGCTGACTGAAGGGCCCAGTAGCATAATTACTGTTTTCTTACTAGCTCACTGTCTGTGCACATTTCAAAGCCTGGTTGGTGTGAGACTGCTGTGTAAACATCAATAAAATCCCAAAGTGCCAGATCATCAGCATCCTTGGGCGAAATGGCTTTTTGTTTCTAGTGTTTTCATGCTTTTAAAGATGCATTTCAGGGCTGCAAACACCAGGAAGGATGGTCTTCATGCCTTGGACTAATCTTCGGGTTTATAATGAGTTAACATCTCCCCCAAGTGAACATTTATTATGAAGGCTAATTGCTTTCCAGTTACAGGAACTCTGCATTCAAAGAAAGTAGGATTCACAAGCAAAGAATATACTGTTTATTAAAACAAAGCAAGGGAAACAAAAAGGTTTCAAAATCCTTTCCACTGAACATAGCTTTAGTCGAGAAAACAAAATATGCGAATGCAAGGACTATGAACAGGTAGGAAGAGTCTACGTTCACCAGCCGAAATGCAACTCGAATTGAAGTGGAAACTAAAGAAATGCTTTGTAGTTGCCTGGATTTCCCTAGGGGATGGCAAGTCAGTGCTTATCAGCAGTCCTCAGAAGAGACAATTCTGATTAGTATCAGACCCATCTGACTCAGGCTATTAAACCCTGAAAGAAGGATATTCTGCAGATATAAAAGATATGCCTTTGATTAATAATTCTACCCTATCGCCATTCCAAGCATCAACTACTAGGTAACACCTCCAGAAAGACAGCGCCTTTGAATCTAGGAAGACACACTTACTGAAACACCCAGGTGTCCCACCACCTCTTCTCAGCTCTCCCCGCCGAGACACAACCCAAGGTGTGAGGGGGTCACCACTGGAGAAGCAGAAACCCAGTCACATCATTTACTTCACGTCCACAGTGAGGGTCAGTTACTGACATCATCATTCCTGCTGGATGGTAATGGAATCTTCACACCACTGACGGAGGCCTGGAGACAAGGGGTGACGGGTCCTACACTACACGGCTGGCGGATGCCCTGGGCCTGACGGTCTACACCGCAGCCACTCTCTCCATTGCCTACCACTGGGCTGTGGGATACACACGGGAGGAAATTGCTTAGTCCACCATAAAGAGCTTCTGTGCTGTGTAGTGAATGTGGGGTTGGCACACAGGGGCGGGAGGAAATGGATTCCATTTGGCTCTTCGCCTGCAAGCTTCTGCCCAATCAGCACTCTCTCCTCACATGGATGCGTTTCTCCGGATGCTCTGGACCAGCCTTCTGCCATACTCTCTGTAGTCCACAGGCTTCACATCCATCACAGTGGCCTTAATTCGAGACTCGTCCTTCAAAAAGAGAAGCGGTCTGTGAGCGATGAAAGCGTGGCGTGGAGCGACGAAGCCCCTTTTGTTTCACAGCTTCAATGAGCCCAGCGGGAGGGAACACAGACACACTGGGTTCAGAGGTCAGTCACTGCAGTGAGTGACAGCCCAGGTCTGGATGTTGGGGGCCGGGACTGCAAACAGGCCTTCCTCTTAACACAGGCCCTTCAGTCAGAAGCCTGGAAACATCCCAAACACTCAGAAGCCTAGAACCCCAATGAGACGGACTTTAGAGGGCTTCTCTGGTTTACCGAGGGGGATACAGCCCAGAGAGGATATGTGACTTGCCCAAAGCCACACAGCTAGTTCTGAAAGCTAAACTTTAATTTCAAGAACAGCTGAGTTGTAAAAGGAATAGCACTGCGGCAGAGGGGGAGGCCCGAGTTCATCCCGTCTCTGTTCTGGGGGAGGTAACCTCTGCCCTTCACTTTCCTTGTCCAGACACGATGGGGCTCAGTGACCCCAAAACTCCCCCCTGGCCCCACCCATTCCCGACATTGTTTCCCAGTGGCATCTGATCCCTACCTCACTTGTTTATAGTAGCACGTCTAAGCACAGGTACTGAGGCTAAGGTCTGGTAATAAACAGCACGCAAACCCTGCCAGCAGCAGGGAGTTTCTGCAACTCCCCCTTCCCTCCTGCAGGTTCACACCCAAGTACGGAATGGTGGCTTCACAGGCAGCTGGAGCGGCGCCCAAGAGGGCTGCATGGGAGAGCTCGGGGTGCTCACACTGCGTGCTTGGCCGTTACGGAATCCAGTGATACTCGCAAGCGTGACTGAGAGCACAGCTCTGAAGTCAGACTGCCTGGGTTGGGCCTTAGCTCTGCCACTTGCTCCACAGGACTCAGGCAAGCGACCTGCTTTCTGATGCCTCTGGGTCTCTCTGTGTGCATTCAGTGGTAAAACGGGGTAACGACAGCTCCTACATACAGGGTTACTAGGTTCCAGTGAGATATTCCATGTAAAGGATGGAGAACAGTAACTGGCAACAGCGCTCAATAAATGCTGTTTGATTGTAACTACATAACTAGGCCTGGCGCGGTGGCTCACATCTGCAATCCCGGCACTTTGGGAGGCCGAGGCAGGTCAAGAGTTCGAAACCGGCCTGGCCAACACAGTGAAACCCCATCTCTACTAAAAATACAAAAATTAGTCGGGCCTGGTGGCAAGCACCCGTAATCCCAGCTACTCGGGAGGCTGAGGCAGGAGAACCGCTTGAACACAGGAAGTGGAGGTTGCTGAGATGACCCCATTGCTGTCTAGCCTGGGCAACAGAGTGAAACTCTGTCTCAAATAAACGGTATTACTCTATGGTGTTATGGGCATGTGGTCTTTGTTTCACATACTGACTGATTTAGAGAGGGGGTGTCGCTGTGTTACCCAGGCTGGCCTTGAACTCCTGCCTCAATTTCCCAAGTAGCTGGGGCCACAGGCACACACCATCACACCCAGCTCATATACTTAACATACTTATTTCACAGTCTAAAATCAGTCAAAGAGGCGACTCCTCTACATATGTTAGAATTTTGTTGGAATAGACAAAAAAAAAATTCCCAGGATTTAATTAAAAAAACAAAACAAAACCAAGATAGTATTCCCCACCTCCAGCCATTGTTTAGACAAGAAACCTAAGCTCTCTTTCTCTTTCCTCATCTGAAAACGGGATAATAACAGTACCTGTGTCAGGAAGTCAACAAAAAATTAACACCGTGCTCAGCGCCGGGGGCCATGCAGTGAACACTGTAACTCACTGCCGGGGAGGGGGTCCCGCGCAAGGGAAACTCACTGCCGGGGAGGGGGTGGGGCGCAGGGTAACTCACTGCAGGGGAGGGGGTGGGGCACACGGTAACTCACTGCAGGGGAGGGGGTCCCGCACACGGTAACTCACTGCCGGGGAGGGGGTCCCGCGCAAGGGTAACTCACTGCTGGAGAGGGGGTCCCGTACACGGTAACTCACTGCTGGGACGGGGTGGGGCTCACGGTAATTCACTGCCAGGGAAGGGCTCC